CCGCACCGCGGCCTCCTGAAACAAGAGACGTAACGGTACCGGGTTCTCCGACTCCTGAAGACTATTCGGCAGGGCTTACATTCCGCAGGAGCGGAGGGAGCGGGGGGAGGAGGGGAGAGGGGGAAAGGGAGGAGGAGGAGGAGGAGGAGAAGGAGGAGGAGGAGGAGGAGGAGGAGAAGGAGGAGGAGGAGGAGGAGGGGAGACCAAAACAGCCTCAGTCATCTCCTCTTTCCTTCCTCGCTCATCATGCCCCCTGCCTCTCTGACGTCGCTCCTGCTCCCCCATAATGCTCCCCCTTCCCTCCCTCCCTCCCTCCTCTTTCCCAAGGTGGCTTCACCACTTGCGGCTTATGCCTCCTTCCCCCCCCTCGCATAATCATTGCCTCATTTCTTGTCCGTCCTCTCGCTCGTCCACTCTCTCCCTGCCTCCTCCCTCTTCCCTCCGCCGTCACCATCACCTTCTCTTTCCCTCCTATCCCTCCACACGTCACTTAAACTACTTCTCCGGCCCCGACCCCGCCTCCACAGCATCAGATTTGCAAGATTGGGAGGAGGACGGGGAGGAGGTATCGGAGGAGGAAGAGGAGGAGTAGGAGGAGGAGAGGAAGGAGGGACGAGGAGACGGAGGCAGACGATGAAAATCATGCATCATGTATTGAGGGCTGATTCCTTGTCGGTGGTTTCCCACGATGTGTGTACGGGGATCTGACGCTGCATGCTGGATTTGCTCAATGACGCAACCTTTTCTTCCCCCTCATCCAAGCGATCTTCCGACTCATAAGTTGCCCAAGTCAGCGCTTCGATAATCATTGCACGCAGTCTCGAACCAGAGCCTTCACAGACCTCTCTGGGTCCCGCGTAATAACGGAGAAGTGAGCACGAGGAGGAAGCCGCGAGGGGGAAGACATCCATGCCCATACCTTCTCTGCGAGTCGACATAGATACGCCCTCATGGCCCTTGTGCATCCATACTCTCGGTACCCGAGGCTCCAGATGGTCCGCTCTGAGAGACCAGATGCCAAACGAGTGTCACCTCTTGGAGGGGCCGTCTTCTTCGGGCCTGCCGCCGGCGCAATCGCTCTCGGTGTGCTTCCGCGGCTTCCGCAGCCCTGCCGCGGAAAAGAGGGCAACCTCAGCAACTTTGAGTTTCCGATGGCTTCTTTTCTCGGGATACCGCATTCGGGATAACCCCTCTGGAGGGGCAGCGGCTGTACTTTCTCCCCTCTTTAAAACAATTACCCTGCGACGTATCCAACCCGTTTTTATACACGTAGTGCTTATATTCAGGACCACGCAATGCTGACCGGCATTCTGAAGGACCCGCAGTGCGCAAGAAGAACACTCAGGAGTAAAATCAGAAGAGAGCATCAAGAAGAGGAACAGCATACACACACAATGGAGGCACAAGGGCGTTTAAAGAAACACAAAAGCGGGGGGCGGCGAGGGCTAAACCAGAACATCAGTTTAACTCAGCAACGCGCTGCGCTGAAAGAGGCAAATGCATGAGATGCATAACGGGGGCGTTGACTCACCCAAAAGTGCAGACAAACAGGGCGCGGAAGCGAACCCAAAGAAAATACCCCAAAAGTGGAAGCAAAAGGTTGCGGCCTCGAGGATAAGCAGGAACACCCAGTCACCGCGTGGGACGTACCTCCGCTGGGCCTCCCAGGAGCCCACGAAAGTGGCAATATTTGCGCAGATCGCAAGCGCCCCAGGGGGCGGCGAGGTACCCAGGTGATCCGCGTGGGACGTACCTCCGCTGAGCCTCCCAGCAGCCCACGAAAGTGGCGACAGTTGCGTAGATCGCAAGCCCCCCAGGGGGCGGCGAGGTACCCAGGTGATCCGCGTGGGACGTACCTCCGCTGGGCCTCCCAGCAGCCCACGAAAGTGGCGACAGTTGCGCAGATCGCAAGCCCCCCACGGAGCGGCGAGGTACCCAGGTGATCCGCGTGGGACGTACCTCCGCTGGGCCTCCCAGCAGCCCACGAAAGTGGCGACAGTTGCGCAGATCGCAAGCCCCCCACGGAGCGGCGAGGTACCGAGGTGATCCGCGTGGGACGTACCTCCGCTGGGCCTCCCAGCAGCCCACGAAAGTGGCGACAGTTGCGCAGATCGCAAGCCCTCCACGGAACGGCGAGGTACCGAGGTGATCCGCGTGGGACGTACCTCCGCTGGGCCTCCCAGCAGCCCACGAAAGTGGCGACAGTTGCGCAGATCGCAGACGGCACGAGAGAATAGGAGAATGGAACACCGGAGACAGCAGAGAAGGAGGAGAGGAGGAGAGGAGGAGGAGGAAGCGGAGACCACACTGCTCTATTCAAAACGAGTACCCACGACCACAGGAGGGTTGGGAAAAATTGAGTTCCCGATGGCGAGGCCAGCTCTGGAGCACTCCAGGTCGCGACGCCATGGGCACAGCCATTGTGCTGCCATGATAGAGGCCTCCTCGATGGGGTTCCGAGTAGATGGTGTCGAAGGATTGCGCCGCATCGCAGAGGCATCACCGCTGTATCGGCGATGCATCGGCGATGCGGCGCGATCCTCCGACCCCGCCCGCTCGCACCCCACCTGGGAGCCCCGGACACGAGAAAGGCTGGAATCACGAACGCAGGGGCTCTTCTGGCCACGGCGGGCCTCGGCCGCGCATGCGTCCCCACCCACCGCCTGGATCGGAGGAACGGCCCGACAGCCGCAGCCCCTCCCGAGCCCGAAGCGGTCCTTCTTCCCGCCTCTGGGCCGCACACCGCGGGCTCGTGTCGTGTGGACCCCAACGCGGGTGCCTGACACCGCGAGGATCGTTCCACCCTGAGCAATCGGCCGTTTCCGAAACGTCGGATCGCTCAACGATAGGCCCAGCCTGGGTCGCTGGCGGCGTTCAACGTTGAATCCCGCCGGCGGGGACGCCGCCGGTCGACACGACACGAACCTGCTTCTCCCCGTCAGGCGGGGTGGGGGCAGGGAGGAGCAGACGGAGTCCGCCAGCCTCCTCGGCGCTGGCCGCCCCGACGGCGCCGCCGACGGCGGGCAGCACTGGTCGGGCGGAGGGAGTCGGGCAGGTCACTCCCCGCCTCACCCGCCCTCTGCGGCTCCTTTCCTCTATGCCGATCCTGACCCAGGCGCTCTCTCCTCCTCCTCCTCCTCCTCCTCCTCCTCCTCCTCCTCCTCCTCCTCCTCCTCCTCCTCCTCCTCCTCCTCCTCCTCCTCTTCGTCGCAGGGGCGGCAACTCGCTCACACCCCCGCACTCTGCAATGACCCCCTCGATGCCGATCCTCACCAAGGCGCACTCTCCTTCTCCTCCTCCTCCTCCTCCTCCTCCTCCTCCTCCTCTGACCACGGGGGGAATTCGCTTCCCCCACACCCGCGGCCCTCTGTAATTCAACCCCCCTTGATGATGCTTCTGACCAGACCGCTCTCTCCCTTTTCCATCCCCTTTCCTTATCAATAACCCCTCCCTGCGGCGCCCCCAGGCATGACGGTAGGGCGGGCCTGGCGTTTCGCCTGAGACGTCCCCACCACTCATGATCCTGAAGCTTGCAATTCGGAACGGCTTTAACGATAGGGTGCGTGGCGTTTTCAAAATAAAGCTCTCGCCTGAGCACCGCGCGCGCTCGTCTTAACTGTTTGCACCTTCGAAGACTGTTTCAACTGCGCCACGCCATCCAGATGCCTCAGTTGTCGTCCCTTGCAGCGTGCAGCCGCCCCACCTACTTGAAACGGGCGCCCAACACAGCCAAGATCTGCTCCATGGGGGGGGTGCGGGGAGGAGGTGCGAGGGCCCGCTCCGATCGGCACAACGATGAATACAGTCAACCCGTATCAGACGGATGCGCGGTAAGGATGCAAGGGCCTTGGAGGCCCATGTTAACGTTTTCCGAACGAGGCTGGCCAGCGAACGTCGCTGATATAAGAAGACATAACACCATAAACATAAACTATTGGCGCTCCGCGCGGATTTCTTGGATCTGCGCTGGGGCCCCCTCCCTGGCGCGCGGAGCGCGCCAGGGGCGGCGCCAGGGGCGCCGGCAGGGGGGCCAAAGCGCGTATCCAAGATATCCGCGCGGAGCGCCAATAGTTTATGTTTATGGCGTTTTACCTTCTTCGAGCTGAGAATGGGCCGAAGGGGCAAGGATGCAAGGGTACCCTCCGGACGGCTGCCCGCCCTCACCTTCATGCTCATGCTCACGTCCTTGAATCTACCCCTGGCGGTGCACGGTTTCCCCCGGGGCCGCAGGCGACCCGACGAGGAGGAGGAGGAGGAGGAGGAGGAGGAGGAGGAGGAGGTGGTGGAAGAGAGGAGGAGGAGGAGGAGGAGGAGGAGGAGGAGGAGGTGGAAGAGGAGGAGGAGGAGGAGGAGGAGGGAGGAGGAGGAGGAGGAGGGAGGAGGAGGAGTAGGAGGAGGAGGAGGAGGAGGGGGAGGAGGAGGAGGAGGAGGAGGAGGAGAGGAGGAGGAGGAGGAGATGGAGGAGGATGAGGAGGAGGAGGAGAAGGAGTAAGAAGAGGAGAGAGGAGGAAAAGGCGGCGGCGGGCTCATCAGGAACGCGAGTCTGAGTTCGGCCGAAACTGAAAACAAAAAGTTAGCTCTGGTTCCTCGAGTGCGCAAATTATGCGGTGACTTAGCACGTGGGGGGGCTCACGCGCTCCTCGACTCACAAAACGGACATATCCCTGTGGCCAGAAGCGGGCTGAGCACCACAAAATTCTTCGGGAAACTACCATCGAGAAAGACTGAGGCGGGCGGGAACCCAAATTAAGTCGAAAAGCCACAAAAGACTAGGGGCAGCCAGCACCCAGGGTCCAGCTAAACACCGCAGACCAGGGGCCCCAGGACCAAGCAACACAAGAAAAGAACGCAAGAACATTGGCGCCCACCACTAGAGGGCGCGAAAGGGCGAAAGCCGCCTGAGCTGTGTCAGGCTACTGATATTTCCTGGGGGCAGCCCCGATCAACCTCAGGATGCTGGCATTCAAGCTGGAGGAAGAGGTGAGGCGAGGAGGGTCAGACCCGAGGCTCGAGCGAGGAGGAAGACGAGGGGGGAGAGGAAGGGTTCCCGCCGCCTGTGGCGGAACTACTACCTGAGAATTCGACTGTAAGACTGGCGCCCTCTCTCCTCCTCCCCGGCCTATCGAACTCGCAGCAGAGGGAGGTGCAAACAGGGAGGGAGCAGCCATCTGCGATGCTGTGCTGCCACTGGGAGGTGCCGTCAAAGTCGCAGCTCCTCTGCCAGTAGCTATCTGCGATGTGGTGCTGCCACTCAGAGGAGTAGTCAAGGTCGGCGTCCCTCTACCAGTAGCTACCTGCGTCTCTGATCTGCCACTCTGCGGAGTAGTCGATGGCCTCTGAGCAACATCTAGATCGTCTCTGCGTTGTCTAGGAAAAGCTGCATCAAGCGCTCTTGGTGCGTGCGAGGTGGCGTGCCCTTCGTTAGCTTTCCCCCGAGCTGCTTCAAGGAGTCGAGCAACTGTGTCTGCACGCCTGATCCCTGCGCCTCGAGATGTATCTTCATCAGCTTGCGATCGTGAGTGTACGATATCCTGCAGTGTCGGATCTGCATGCACAGGCTGTCGTTCGTGATGGTTCCATCTGCTTTGATGTTGTCGAGGTACTGCTTCAGGGCGAGATGATTGGCGGCTCCTACGCGTTCTCCCTGCTGCACCACTCCGCCCACTAGCGCCAACCACAGGTGGGGGTGCGGCACGCCCAGCTTCTCCAAGTCCTCCACTGGCTGCTGGTCTCGGATCTCTTGAGCGTGCTCGCGGCGAATGCGATTGGCCTCGTCTACGTAGAACTTGGCTGTGATCCTCATGGCCTTGCAGACGTCGTGATCCCGATCCAAGTGGATGATGTGGTAGATCGCTGCTTCCAGGGCCGAGAGACCCTGTATGTTCTTCAGCGTCGCGCGCACCATCACGGGGAAGATGGCCTGGATCAGCTCGAGTGGGAACGCCTCGTCGCCCAGGCCCATCACGTCGCCTCGCTGCAGCCCGTACGTCAGGTCGGCGTTCTGGAAGAGCTGGCTCAGCGCGTTGGCCACGCCCTGGTGCCCGTGCCGCGGTGGTTGCTGCTGCTGCCGTCCGCCCTGCTGACCTCCCCCACCAGCGACGACTGCCACCCCTTGAGGTCGGACCGCTGGCGGTGAGCCTCCCCCCGCTGGGGCGCGGGGCGGGGGACCCCGAGGTCCTCGCCGTGCGCCTCTGCCTCGGTCTCCGCTGCGGGACCTCAGCGCGCTCGCTCGTTCTTCTGCGCCTTGGCTCCTAGCACGGGTTGCCAGGTCCATCCCACTCGGTCGATGCTAGATCTGGCGGTGGCGGGGCGTGAACGTCACGTATGTGTCGCTGGAGTTCGGCAAGCGACTGAAACTGATCGAGGTGTCTCGAGCCTGGTGGCATACACTCGACAAATGCACCGAACGCAGCATCGAGGTCCTGACAAATGGGGCAGAAGAGGTCCTCAGGTTCCTGAACAGGTGGGGCATAAGGGCTCTGGTCGCAGAGACACCTGCCACATTTCAACGATTGCACCACATGTCGTCGGGCAGTGACCTGGCTCTTGAAGGTGGACATGCAATACAAGCACTGATTGGTGATCACGAGCATGTGCGCTGGAACCCGATGCTTGTGACTGGGGTGGTGGCATTGATGGGCCACAAGGGCCCCTTTACCGTAGAACACCATCCCACACCTCCCATCCTCCCCATCTCCAGGTAGTTCGCAAACAAACTCATCAGGATCCTCTGGGGCACCAGCACTGGGACCTTGGGCACCACGAGGGGGTCCACGGAGCTCTGGAACCTCTCGGAGCAATCTGGGATCAAAGCTGAGGAACTTATTAGCGACGATCGACCTCGTAAATATATCACGAACAGAATAGTTTTCCACGAACTCCTTACCTCCGCGAAGGTACCGTAGCGCCTGTACATCTCGCTCCAATTGGAGGGCCCACGGGTTGGCGGTGCTAGCAACTCGGCCGTCCTCTCTGAAGGTCGGCTCTTCTCCGAGGCCGTCGAGACTGCCAAAAAGCACGGTGAGCGGCTGCGCACTGTCTTCGGGATAACGAGCGTAGCGTTGCCACTGTCTGAGGCGGCGCACAAGAAGCTCCGCTCTTGAGTCTGTGATCCTGAGTTGCCTCAACACCTGGGCCTCCGAGAGAGATCTATATTTCGGGCAGGTACCAGGAGGGGCGCCTTGCTCAAATTCAGGACGACGATCACGGAGCACAACCCGAGCGAGGCCCTGCACGACGGAATCGAGTTTCCTGAGGTCGAGCTTGGAGGGGAGGTACGATTCGAGGCCCGAGTAGGCCGCCGCCAGGATCGTCCCCTTGAAGGCCAGACGTTTGAGGCGAATCGAGCGAGTGATGTCCCAGAACCTGCCGAGCCTCCTCCACGCCGCCCTCGTAGCCTCCACCCTCCTCTTTATCTCAGCTCCACACCCCGCCGTCAGCTGTTCCATCCCTCCCAAGTACAGGCCCTCCGACGACGTGACCCCAGGAAGCGGAACCGTCTGGGACAGGAGGGCACGGGACGCAGTGTGGGCACCAGGGCCCACCATGACGGGCATGCAGTTCTCCTTATCAGGGTTCTGGGCGAACCCTCCTCCGATGGACAACTCCCGATCGAGAATGGCGTTGGACTTCAGGACCCTGGACCTGGCCTCAAGAGGATTCGAGGTGGCGAGCGGGATCGTTTGGTGAATGTCGTCGGCGTAGTCTCGAACCGACACGTCATGCATCAGAGAGGAGGAGGAGGACGGGTCGCCTCAGCCCTTCGGAGGAACCCTCCACCCCCTGGCGGGCAGCGGCTCGCAGGCGCGCGGCTCCCGCAGCTCTGCGACTCCGCGCCTCCGGTCGAGCCGCGGCCCGCAGGCGCGGGTGCGCCCGCGGCCGCCCCGGCGCCGATGCGAGTGAGCAGGGACCGACCGTACCGGCCGGCATTCCTGTAGGCCTACCACGACATGTTCCAAGAACCCAGAAATCTTCTAAGAGCAAAAAACAATCTTCTTAGAACCTAACCCCGACGTGTCAAAACAAGACAGTCCCAGCCAGAAATGTTCTGAGAACATCTCGCACACACCACACGAGGTTCCTGGAACATTGCCTGGTGGGCCCATGGGCACGCCAAGACGCTTCGCCACTGCTTGACCCCTGGCGGGCAGCGCCTCGCGGGCGCGCGGCTCCCGCAGCATCCGCGGCTCCGCGCACCCGGCCGAGCCGCGGCCCGCTGGGGCGGGCCCGCGTCGTCGGCCGCCCCGGCGCCGAGCCGAGGCGCGCCCGCCGCCCGCAGCGAGGGCCCGGCCGCGCTCAGCCGGCGGCACCAGCGGCGTCCTGCTGCAGCCTGGCGAGGTGCCTCTGCTTCTCCTGCAGCTCCTCAGGTTTGGGTCGGGCACGTCCTCCTACAAGTGGCTTTTGGACGAGCATCTTTGAAACAATACGGGCAAAACTCAAAAATATGCGAACACGGTAAAACAATCGTCCCCAAACTATGTTGTTACCATTGTACATGGACAAGCCCGACTTAAGCTTAGTTGGAGAACGGGAGGGCGCTCCAGGAATGCCAGGTGATCTGGCGGCCCCCGCCTCCAGATTGTCTGGCAGCCCTCGCTTCTGTATCCTGGCGAGGTGCCTCTGCTTCTCCTGCAGCTCCCGTATGAGGCGCTGTTTCTTCAGATTCTGATTGAGTTTGCTTTCGTGGAGGGGAGGGGGAGGAGGTGGCGAGGTCCGAAAGGCATCCTGGAGTTCGCGCACTTTGAGACTCACTTGACGCCTTTTGGCCCAGCGCTCCTTGAAAGGCGAAGGAAGATAGGGTGTGCAGGGGGGAATGCCATGCAAGTAAACTCGCCGAAGCCGTAAGGGAAACAAACGCTCTCAATAGGATGCGAATGGCGCCTCGGACACGTTCCAGGAGTTCTACATTGAGTATCTAGCGGCCCTCGTTTTCAGGCAACGACATCTCAGCGACGAGACGACAGGGGTCGTACTAGAAGAGAAGGAACGGCATAACCATACTCTTTCGGAAGCCCGCGCGGCTTTCTTGGATCTGCGCTGGTCCCTCCTCCCTCGCGCGCGGATCGCGCCAAGGGCGGCAGCAGAGGCGCCGCCAGGGGGCTCCAGCGCCGATCCGAGAAATCCGCGCGGAGCGTCGCAGGTTTATGCTTCTGCAATGTTTGCATTTGATTATTCCTCGACTCACGCAAGATGGCATCGCAACCTTAAGCCGCGGCTGACGCGGGCCGCCAGCGTGGCACACCGCGTGGGAAGAGGGCGCTCGCGCGCGGTCTTACGCGGGAAGCCTGCACGCCAATGTCGGCGCAATCGAACATCGAGCCCGTTCTTCTGTGCCGCTTATGTGAACCCTACCCCTGCAAGCCAGATTTCTGTAGAAAACGACGTGGACTCAGAATTCGAACAAGGCCTGCGGCCAAATAGACCCCAACTGGGGCAACAAAAGGGTACCGATACCGATGCCCCAGGAACCTCTCCCGAGGTGCGTTCTCACAAGAATTCTCGAGGCGAATCCAGCGGTAACGACGGGGGCCTCCCAGGAGGCCCAAAAAGGGGAACACGGCCGATGGGTACGGGTATGGGTACCTTCTCCTTCTCTGACCAGCAGGGGTGTCCGATACCCCAATGTCCATGGGGCCCGCGGGGGCATGGCTTGCAGGTGGTCTCAGATCCTTCTCGGGGGGGGAGGGTGCTGCCGGGAGATGCGCTCGCAGGCTTCGTGCTTGGCGCACCGCGGCGGCGGCCACGGTCTGCAAGAGGGGAGCGTGTCGCTCTCCGCTCCGCGGGGCGGGAGGCCGGGAACCAAGCTCAAGACGTTGAGGCTTGGGGGTGGGGGCGTCGAGTCAACCCGTAGAATCAGGATGCACGAGAAGGATGGAAGGGTCTTGAAAGGCCATTTCGAGGCTGTGCGAGCGGGACGCGGCCAGCGAAAGTGGATAAGGATGGACCGAAGGGACAAGGATGCGAGGATCCCCTTGCGAAGGTTGTCCATCCTAATGATGCGGGGTGACTGTAGATAGCGTGTCGCGCCGAAGCGTGGTGGGCCAGAACTGGCGGAGCGACTCGCTAGGTCAAAGCTCTTGACCGCAGAAGAAAGAAAGACAACCACGACCGCTGAGCTGAGGAAACCGCCCCCGACGCCCTCTCAGGGACGGCCCCGGCCCCCCAACCGCGATGCCCTGCGCGGGGCGCCCGTTGTCGAATGCCGCGCGCATGCCGACACCGCTGGGGGGTCGAGGTCGGCCATGGGGGGGGCGCCAAAGGAGGTTCCCTCAGCCCAGCGGTTGCACGAACGAGCGAACAAGCAGTGCCGTGACGGCAGAGCGGCTGCAGTGCACATGGATGGTGAAACAGAATGCACCCTCACAACGATTCGCGTGCTTTGTACGCGCTGGACGGGGGGGAGATGGGGGAATCTGGGAGGGGGAGAGGACATGGGGCGGAGAAGCAGGGGCAGCGGTTACGACTGCTCTTGGTTATTCGCACATGAAGCGGTGCTCCTGGCCCGAAGTGTCCCAAGATTTCCCAGGAGGCCCACCTGGCCTCCAGAGCACCCCTCACACGGCCCAGAGCCCAGATGGCCCCAGGGGGCTTCAGAGGGAAGCTGAGGAGGAGGAGGAGGAGGAAGAGAAGGAGGAGGAGGAAGAGAAGGAGGAGGAGGTGGAGGAGGAGGAGGAGGAGGGGGAGGGAGGCTGGGGACACCCTACCCTGGGCCAGGGACACCTTGAGCACCCCCCCGACCTTCTCCCTCTCCTCACAGAGGGTGTTCGCCCTGTCGAGCTCCCCCCTGATGTAGTCCATCCGCTTCTCCACGTTCGCCTTGGCGCAAAATCCATCTCGATCCGATCGATCCGACTCGATCCCGATTCCGGTCGGCCCGATCCGATTCGATTCCGATGCTCTGGCGATCCGATGCATCCCGATGTTTGCACGGCGCCCTTGTGCATCCTGGCGCAGCCGATCCGATTTGACTTCGACCGCGTGCCGCTGCGTCCCGACCCGACGCACACTCCGATTCGATCCGATTTCCAGATTCGATGATCATCGATCCTGCCTTGCAAACAAGTCTTCGTTCTCGGTTTCGACACTTGGCCGACGGGTGGGGAAGGGGGGGCGTCTGGGTCTGGGCCAGTGCTTCATCAATCTGACGTTGCCAGTCGCGCAAGCAGACTGGGGGGGGTCCCAACCAGTCGCCATACGCGGCCACCAAAAGCAGCCACGATCTGGTCTACGGGGGAATGAAGGGGGGGGCGCGCCGACCGGCGAAACAATGATATACAACTCAGCTGCCTTGGCGTCGTCCACGTTCTGCTTTACCATGACGGGCCCCACCAGCTTGAAGACCTGCGACCCCTCCTCCAGGGTCGCGAACTCGTCCTGCACGAGCTCGGTCTCCTGCTGCTGCCCGATGAGGCACATGCGCGTCTCGTAGGACTTCTGCAGGGCGTCCTCAAGGAAGCAATTCCTGGGAGGTCTTCAGCAGATTGACTACGGGCTATTCAGCCCGCTTGAGGGGCCATAGAGCCGGATTCGGCTGGATTGCGCCCAGGATGAAGCTGAACTACGCGGGATTCGGCAGGACGAAGCGGGATCAGGCCTCGCAGGACTTCTGCAGAGCGTCCTGAGGCTTGGCAGAGCACCCTCTCTCAAAACGCCCTTTAGTGAAAGCTACCAGGTGTGCTCCACGTGCGCACGGCACCGCATTCCCAGCGGACGCGGGCGGGATTGCCAACCGACGTCCACAAAAAAAACCGAATCCATTCCGCGAAACGCACCGTGGATTTGCGAAGCCGACCAGGGGCTGTTGAGCTCGATTAGGTCTTCCCCCGAACTAGTGACGTCAACTAAGTCCAATGGAGGGATTCGGCCAGATTGCGCCCATGATGAAGATGAAGTAAGCGGGATGAAGCCAAACTCAGTGGGATTAGGCCAGATGAATCGGGATGAAACCAGGTTCGGCAATTTTTTCAACCAGGGATATGCCAACGTCGATTCTGACTTTCGCCTCCCAAGAGTTGCATCCTACGGCCGGGAACTTCTGCTCAGCGTGTTGCGGCGGGCCCCGGCGTTCCGCGGGACGGGAGTTTGGGAAAAGCTCGGGACTTTGAAGCTTGGGCCTGGGGGGACGTGGAAAGCTCGTCGCGCCGAAGCGTGGTGGGCCAAAACCAGCTAAGCGACACCCTGGGTCGGCATCGCGCCGTCGTCGCCGTCATCGCCGCCGTCGCCGTCGTCATCGTCGTCAAGGGGATTCGCGTCGTCGTCGTCGTGGTCGTGGTCGTCGTTGTCGTCGTCGTCGTCAAGGGTATTCGTGGTCCTCGTCCTCGTTGACGTCGTCGTCGTCGTCCTGCAGCGCCTTGAAGCCCTCGAGCTCTCTCTCGAACAGCTCCTTCGCGTCGGGCGCCATGGCCGCGGCCGCGCAACGGCGGGCGGCGGGCCGCGCACACCACCACCCTCTCTCGCGGTGGGCAGAGCGGGCGCGGGCAGCCGGCGGGGTCTCCGCCCCGCGGGGGGGCCTCTGGGCCAGAACGCCCGGGGGGAAGCACGGCTCGTCCTCCCCGTCCTTCTTGACTTCAGTTGGGCGTGTCCCCCTACAGGGGGATTTTGGGCGGAAAAACAAGATACTACAAAATATCCCCACAATGCTCAAAAATAATCAAACAATCGTCCCCGGACTATTTCATGAATATTCCCCGTGTAGAGGGACACGCCCGACTTAAGTCTTGACGCTGGACGGACCTGAAGCGCATGCTGGCGGCGTGGAGGCCTCCTCGTCCTCCTCGTCCTCCTCCTCCGGCAGGGTCACCGATAATTTGTCGCCTCTGGCACTCACGATATTCACGAGCTTCATTGCAATAGTCTCCTGTCGTTTTTGCGATGAGCTGTGCTGTGCTTGCTAGATCGCTGGCCGTTATGTCATGTCGGCACGCCCCGTGTTGGTTTGGCCACCAATCTGCCGAAACGTTACCGTTGCAATGGCGCGTCCTGCTGGGGGCGTTCAAGCGATACATTGTGCTTCCTTTCTCTTATTCAACTTCGTAATAGAAACAAGCGGCATACGCATAAACTCTTGAAGATCCGCGCGGATCTCTTGGATCAGCGCTGGACCCGGGCGGCGCCACAGGCGCCTTCAGGGGGGCACAGCGCAGGTCCAAGAAATCCGCGAACCTCTGATTATGTTTATGCCTCTTGTTGTTCTGCGATCTTACCTTCCTTATCGGACTCCCTCTCGTCCTTCCCCTGTCCCCCTCCCTGCCGCCCCCACCCTCCCTCCTCGATTTCTCCTCTTTCCTACTCCCTGCTCCTTGCCGAGCTGGCGGTGGGCTGGTTGCGGAGTACCCGCGCGGTCTTTGCGTGCCATCTTCTACACAGTGGACCAAAGCCACGACGCCCACAGACAAATCATGCGCATTACAGTCGGACCCAGGCCAGAGAAATATCCCCAAGAACATGAGACCCTCCAACGGCCAAACCACACAGAACATCCAAGGGTGCCCTCCCCAGGATGCAAAAAACATCCAACAAACACGAAGAATATCAAGATACCCTCCCCGAAGCGACATCGATCTTGTACCTCGGTCCGGCTGTACAATGCCTCATCGGAGGCACCGCGGCTAGATCACTACTCGGCGGCGTAAGCTCCCCCAACAGGCGCCGAACACCCGGACGTGAGGCAGAAGGGCCCTGCTCTAGCAGAAAATGGAACGGGCGCGGCAGAATGGGGGGGGGCGAGAAGTGTGTGTGTGTGGGGGGGGAGAAAAGTGCCCTCTTCGGGCTCTGCGTGCAACCAGTTGGGTCCGAAAGGGGCCCTTTTGAGGCCCTCACGGGCCTCATTTCTGCAAGCCTCGCTGCCCCCCCAATGTACAGTCGGGCTGCTGAAATGAGGAACGCCAAATAAGGAACGAAACCCCTTTGGAACGCGTTTCTTTATGTTCGGCGATGACGGGCGTCATGGGGGGGGGTGGAGGACGGGGGGGGGGTATGACGTGACGCCCCCCCCGCCGTGTGGCTCCCGCACCACAGCCGCGCCCGCGCGCACGACGCGACGAGCGCCGAATCACGAGCGACGACGACGACGCGAGCAGCATGTAAGTGGCGATCTGCCCATTGCGCCTGTGTGCACCGCAACGCTCGCGTGCACCACACCGCGCGTGTGCACCACAGCGCCTGCGTACACCACGCACCGCCCGCGTATGCCACAATACTTGGGAGCACTACAGCGCTGGTGTACATACACCGCAGCAGCCATGTGCAACACAACGCCTGTGTACACCACTGTGCTTGCGTGCGCCACAGCGCCTGTGCACGCCACGTCGCCTGTCTACGCCACAGCATCCGCGTGCAACGCACCGCTGTACACCACAGTGCCTGCGTGCATAGGACAGGTAGAAGAAGCATGTACGTCAGGATCTGCTGCGGACAACAAAAACGTCACGCCAGGAAAGTTCTGAGAATCGAAGGCGACGTTTTTCTCTCCTCCCTCCTCCTCCACCTCCTCCTCCTCTTCCTCCTCCTCTTCCTCCTCCTCCTCCTCCTCCTCCTCGTCCTTTTCCTCCTTCTTACCCCCTGTCGTGCGGTTTGGCGTTGCAGCGCACATGCGCATCTCAGCGTGCACCGCAGAATGGTCGATAGAATCGGTCCACTTGGTTCTCGGACGGCCAATTTAGCTGGAGCCTCCTCGACGCAAGTGGGAGTTTGGGTGATGCGGGCAGACTCGGGGGGACTCGTAGATTCCAGCGGCGCTCCGTCGTCCATGAGGATTTGTTTGCCATTGTTTTCTCTGGAATCCACACGCGTCCCATGTTGTCACAAGAATCCCTTCTGAAATTCTATACACAATAATGGTGCTGTGTTGCACACGGCTGATGTGGTGCACACAGGCGCCGTGGCGTACACAGGCACTGCAATGCACGCAGGCATTGTGGAGTATACTGGCGCTGTGTTGCGCACGGCTGATGTGTTGTACGGAGGCGCTGTGGTGTACACAGGAGCTGCTGTGCCCGCAGGCACGGTGGCACAAACTGACGCTGGGTTGCACGCGGCCGCTGTGGTGTACATCGGCGGCGTGGTGTACACAGGCGCTGTGGTGCACGCGGGCACTGTGATGTACACAGGCGTTGTGGTGCAGATCGCCACCTACATGTTCGTGCCGCCCGTCCTCTGTCATTCCTAAGCATTCCCAAACGCCGCCGGCGCGAAACGTGACGTCATCGACCCCCTCCCCCCCAGAGATGATTGCCGTCATCGGCAGCGTCCGCGCGCACGACGACGATGAGCGACGAGCGACGAACCACGAGCGACGACGACGGACGACGACGACGACGACGACGACGTCGACGTCGACGACGACGACGACGACGCCTGCGGACCAGACACCTATGCGGATTCCTACGCGGACACCTACGCGGATCCCAATGCGCACGGCGGCAGTGCCCGGAGCGCACTGGGGGGGGGAGCGTTACGTCATAGGGGGGGGAGCGTGGGCCATGACGCCCGTCATGCCCCAAGCAATAAAGAAACGGGCTCTTGCGGCTTCAAACAAGCCTGGGTGCACGAGAAAGGCTAGAGGAACAACCACAGAAGGACGTAAGGAACATCGAGCCACTTCCGAATACAACCTGTTCCATATTTCAGCCTCTTGGCTGCATCGCCCCCCTATCACGCGGCCTCCAAGTCCTAGACCCTCGGCCTCTCCCGGAAACGGCTGCTCACCCTGAGCGGTTTCTGGCGGTCCTGGGCCCTGGGAGAGTTGGAGGCGTCTGGGCGGGGGGGGCGTCCACCGGGGGGCCTGCAAGCCATGGCCCGAGGCACGTGCGCGCACGAGGGGGAGAGGGAGGGCAAGGAGCGCGATAGACGAAGCAGATGGGGCCACGAAATAAACCGAAGGAGCTTCTGCGGCCCCGGCCATGCTATCAGCAATCCCACCCCCCTCCCGTGCACCCCCCGACACTTGAAGGCGGACCTGTCCCTCTACAGGGGGAATATTCAGAAATAGTTCAAAAATAGTCTGGGGACTATTTTTCCAGTATTTCTCAGCATTTGGGGGCTATGTTGAACTTTTCGCCCAAAATCCGCCTGTAGGAGGACACGCCCGACGTAACCCGACACGCAAGGAACCCCTCAGCAGAGGCTGCCGGTCAGGCCCCGCCGCGCGCCGGGAGCTGCGCCGGCCGCGGGCCCCCCCTCCGCCGCCCGCCCCGCGCGCCTGTGGCGCCGAGCAGGGCCCGCCGGCGGTCCGCGCGCGCCGCGGCCTCGGCGGCCTCGGCGGCGCGGGGCGCGGACTTTGTGGGAGGCCGGGCGTGGCCCTGCGCGGCCCCTGGCCTTCGGTCGGGCCTGTCCCCCTACATGGCGGTTTTGGGTGAAAGATTTAAGAGACCCCGAAAATGAGTATACGACCACCCTTCGGGTGATAAGGAGGATCTGGGGGGGGGGAGGAACCCACGTCTCACTCGATCGGTCTCACTATCGATCTCACGATCGGTCTCGCTCGATCGATCTCACTCGATCGATCTCATTCGATTTATTTCATTCGATCGATCTCACAATCGATCTGACCATCGAAATCACAATCGATCTCACTATCGATCCCACTATCGATCTCACAATCGATCTCACATTCGGTCTCACTATCGATCTCACTATCGATATCACAATCGGTCACACAAGCAACGGCATCTTCATAATCAACATCATCGTCATCAACGTCATTAACAACATCATCATCATCACCATCATCATCATCATAATCATCATCATCATCATCATCGGGAACACCATCATTATCATCACCACCTCATTACCATCATCATCAACATAATCATCATCATCACCAACATCAGCTTCATCGAGACACCATCATTGTCACGATCATCATCAACAACATCATCATCATAATCGGGACACCGTCATCATCATCAGCATCGGCACACCACCATCATCATGACCTCATCATCATCATCATCATCATGAGAAACAGCATCAACATCATCATCATCACCATCATCATCATCGGGACACCATCATCATCAGCAACATCATAATCATCAGCATCAGCATCATCAACATCGGGACACCATCATCGTCGTCACCATCATCATCATCATCATCACCATCCTCATCATCATCATCACCATCATCATCGGGACACCATCATCATCAACATCCTCATCATCATCATCATCATCATCATCGGGCCACCATCATCAACATCATCATCATCACCTCATCATCATCGTCATCATCATCATCATCGGGACACCATCATCGTCATCGTCATCATCATCAACCTCATCATCATCGGGACACCATCATCATCATCGGGCCACCATCATCACCATCATCATCATTAACAGCATCAGCATCAAACTCATCATCACCATCATCATCGGGACACCATCATCATCATCA